TAAATAATTTTTATCTTCCTAATAATAGTTTCATTAAAAATAACATAAGACTTACAATTTCCACGTTGATATAGTTAAAAAATAAACTTATGATTATGAAATTTTATATTTGACTCAAGGAACTTATGCTAATAGAATTTTGAAATTTTTTTTAAAATTTATTTTGAAATGGGACTTTGAGCCTCTAAAATTGAGTTTCAGCCACTGTGCGGGCGCCTACACATTGAAAATTAGCACAATATTTTTTCAACGGTTTGAAATGATATTAATATAATATTATGTAACGACTAAAAACGTATTTGGACGACGATCGCGAACAGATTTAATTTCACTGACGTCCGTGTGGAGCAATTTATCATTAAACCTTGAACGATTAAAAAAAAAACCTACACCTACAACAGACTATACGTCTTTGAACTATATTTTGTTCGGTATTTGCCGGCGTGTCGAATCGTCTACACCGAGTCCATCCTACATGGCGAATAAGATTATCATTCGTCATAGGGGTTCGTAATGATGTGGGTGGAGGGTGGATTGTTGTGAGAGGGAGGTGTAAGAAACGCGAACAGGATACGTCGCCTTACAAATATCAGCTCTATATTTACACACATAATGTTTGTATATATATACTGTGTTTATTGTCCCTAATTCCATTGCACCCACTGCCACGTGTGTAGGTTTCAAACTAAATAAACGAAATTTAACAGATGATCCCTTATAATTCCCCGGTTATCCCTGATGTGTGTGACTTGGTGGCGAACTCGCGCAGACAGGTGTGGGATAAATAAAGAAAAGAAAACATGAACGTATATGTACCTTTTGTAAATACAGTTATTGTTTCAAATAGCATTTTCCTACTATCTATATCAGTAAAATGTTGTTTGAGTGGAGAAATTGGGTTTGACGAAGAAATTCAGAAATTTACATTTTTTTTTTTTGCGAAGTAGGTTATCATAATTTATATTACTCGATGATTATTGAGCTGTTTCTCAGAATCGATTCCTTATAAATAGAATTATTTGTGCAATAAAAAACAAATTAATTATTGAATTAATTTAATTCTTAATCATTACAGTGTCAACTGAGTGGCTTCTTCCAACACAATAATAGTCATAACTCAAAATATTATGTATTTCCTTCGTGTTACCCCTTTGTAGCCAATTAATAATATGTTGTTGTATGTGTATAATGTATATGTGTAAATATTGTTAATATCATTATTATAGAAATAATAAAAAATATTACATTTGTAACAAATAAAGTTCAATATTTATTCGTATACACAATATTTGAAAATAATAGAACTTCCATATCTCCAGAATTATTATTTATTATTAACATTGTATTAATTTATTTCGATACGTAGAATATTTCTAAAGGTATGTCGAAGTCATTATACCGTACCAACCGCTTATTATTATTCACTAACTCGAATGTACATGACAGATTAGATAAAGTATACAATGTCCAACTGATAAGTATAAAACCTTTTGAAGTTAAAACTTCAATACTAGCCCAAACTGAGAGCTATAGCATAGTTATTTAAACATCAACTTCGGAGATGCGACCAGTAACCGTCAGGAGTTCATGATGTGTTCTGCACTCCATATTTTAGATAGTTTTATTGAAAGCTTCCAGTAACAAACAACAACAAAAATGACATATTTTATACTTCCATAGAAATAGTGTGTGCCAGACAAAGTGTGTCTAGTGCTCATTATAAATAAAAAAAATATACATATAATATTAAAAAAATAATTATCATAAATACCATAAATAAATTGTATAGTCATGGTTTAGAATTAAAAAAGTTCTCAATAAAGAAATATAATTTTTATTAGATTCTGAGGGGAACGAAGAATGAATATTGATTTTACAATGTTATTTTTTTTTCTATCTGTTATCAACATTGGTGGTAATAATAATGCTCTAATTTCCGACATCTACACCTTTTCTGATATAGGAAAGGGAATCTAGTTGGTGCATTAGGGAAGTAAAAATTTAAAATTCCCAGTAGTTTTCAAAAGCGTCAGGAAAAACAAAAAATGGAAATCTTCATGTTTTACTCAAAACCAATTTTTGACAAAATAAATATTGTGAAACACAAATAGTAGAAACTTTAAATCTTCAAAACTAGGTGTTAATGAGTCCATTTTCGGTTTTTAATATTCAAAATATTTTAACGCTTTTTGAATTATTTACAGCACTAAGAAATTTTCGATTTTTATATATTTTTTCAATTATTTTTAATAAACAATTTTTGGCTTGATAAAAAAAAAACTTAATGCAATAAAATGTAATGCGATAGGTACCACATAACTATTGTTAATAATGATATTAAAAATAATATTGAGCGTAAGTCCGTAATAGGTAATTGTCTAAAGTTCTAAATCTAAATCCAGAAAAAATTCAATTTATTTTTCAATTTGAAATTCATAAAAAAATTGCTTTTTATATCTAAGATAACAAAATTTAACAGAAATGTTGAGATACCGATGTTCCACTATACAGGGTGATTTTTTTATCGAAGAACACTCATTATTTCAAAAAGTATTAATGTTTAAGAAAATATTTTTTTACATAGTTTCAAGTTGTTAAAAAACAATATTTTTATTAAAAAATTATATTTTTAAATATTTTTTATCCTTTTAATTTTTTAAGTTTTTTACTTTTTTGAATGACAACATCTAATTTTAATTTGATATTCAAAAACAGAATATTTTTCTGATTATTTTAATACATAAAAATTGAATTTAGGGCAAGTAGTTTATGAGTTATAAGTATTTAAAGTTTAGATGAGCGGAGTAGAGGACAAACATTTCGCGGGGTAACCCCGTACCACTCTACTCCGCTCATCTAAACTTTAAATACTTATAACTCATAAACTAATTGCCCTAAATTCAATTTTTATGTATCGAAATACTCAGAAAAATATTCTGTTTTTGAATATCAAATTAAAATTAGATGTTGTCATTCAAAAAAGTAAAAAACTTAAAAAATTAAAAGGATAAAAAATATTTAAAAATATAATGTTTTAATAAAAATATTGTTTTTTAACAACTTGAAACTATGTAAAAAAATATTTTCTTAAACATTAATACTTTTTGAAATAATGAGTGTTCTTCGATAAAAAAATCACCCTGTATTTAAAACAATATAATATTATAATATTCTATACTTATACTATGCTTTACTACAGTTGAAAAAAAAATTTAAACTAATTACATACCCGCATTCATATTTTATGTATTTATTAATTAAGAAAGTACTTTGTTGTTTCACAATTATTAATGTTATAGGTATATAAAGAAAAATTATTAAAAAGTATATTCTACAAGTGAAAAAAATAGGTACAACTTATGATATACCTATCCATCTATTTTTATTTAAAAAAAATATACGTAAGTTATGAAATTTATTGTTATATTAAAATAAATTATTATTTACTTATTACAAATGTTTTATTGTCTATAGTAATATATAATAATAATCTATATTATAATATTATATTCAACCAACTCACGACGTTGGAGTAACGGTGGAATATATAATAATTTTTCTTAATATTATACTTATATAATATAAACATTATTTTATTAGGATGCGTTACATAATTATACCGTTTTTTTCAATATTTGATTGTTTTTAAATATACTTATACTGTATAGTATTTTGGTGAAAATAGGCTAAATATCTCATTTTGAGGAAACGAGTGTTGGTGAAAAAAAGAAAGATACATTTTGGTGGAAACTCGTCGTCATCATGATGGTGATGCTCAGCGAGTGGGGGGAAATTAATTATATACGCACATATATATTTTAGTTTTTATAAACTAATAGTTATATCGACATAAGCTAACAATTATTAGTATCAGTGATATGGTGAAAATTTAAAATGTAAATACTATATTTATTGGAATCTCTGGTACAATTCGACACAGACCACAAATCAAATTTTCAACTACCTGCTGCAGCTGTGATAGTATAAATTACCGTTTTCCCTTGAATAAGCCGCTTGATGACCGCGACCCGCGGCTGGTATGGCCCGGTAGAGACACAACTTCGGTTGTAGTTTTGTCTAACCCTGATCACTCCCACCGCCAGTGGTAAATACCGTGTATACCTTACCAATGCAGTGCGTTACGAATAATGCATGACTTCGAAATGTATACGCGCGGTGTATAATGATATACAAGGTGATTTTTTTATCAGTGAACAGTTATAGGTAGTCCTTTTCTATAGTTAAATGTAATTTGTATTGTTGAAAACTATTTTTTTGAAATTCTTGAATTGATTTCGAAAGGAGATATCGTTTGGAAAAAAACAGACAATTTTTAATTCCCTATTCCCAAGTAAACTATTTTTCTAGAGATAAACAATTATAAAAATCGAATTCAAACAACAAATGTGCAGTTTACATTTTTAGATGATGTATGCATCATCATTAACATTTAGCGGGATGTCCCTGCAGTGCCACTCTATCTGATATTTAAACGCTTACACCAGCTGTAATCGATATTCGATTTGTACGCATCAAAACTTTCAGAACAATATTTGAATTATACTATGCTTCGGAAAATCAATTAAAAATTGTATGTTGTCTCATTTATAAATCATTTTGAATAGCGGTAAAAAAAAATAAATATAAAAATGTAAAACATGTTGTAACAACGACTTGAAATTCTCTAGGTACAAACACAACACTTTTTCCAAAAACACGTAAATATTTACCCACTATAAATGGCCGCCGAATAGTGATAACAATAAAAAAAAAAAAAAAACAACGATCAACCTGTAATAGCTGATACTATAACAGCTAACGTCTCGTTTGTTGACGACGATACACAATAATATACGATACATAATAACAATATTATTATTATTATTATTGTTGTTGCGTTCGCTCTCGACCGGGTGGAGGGAAAGGTAGTCGCCGAGGGCCGACGAGTCGTGCTTGTGCGAGTGTGATTACCGGCAGTGACATCCGAATACTCAGACACTATGCGCCACCGGTTCGTCTTATCCATGCTGCTCTTGCTGCCGGCCGTCCGGGCAGCGGTCGGTGAGAAAAACGGACCTGAAATTCGACCAAAAACCGGTACGGTACACACAATTTTTTTATTCGTACTCTTTTATAACAGTTATAATCATTTCGCTCTCATCATCGTCTCCTCTTCCGTGGAAATCGGTCGCGGGGCGAGTCAAACACTCACATAGTTGGGTACCTTCGGATTAATAAAAAAAGTTCAACTATCACTACGGGTGACGCACGCGGATTTAAGAGAATTAAATTTTTTTTTCTTTACACAAAACGCTAAGAATTAAAGTAGAGTATTTTTACATGATAAAATTTTACGTCAATATTATTTCGTTTGTTTTCATGGTTTTATTTAATTTTATATCAAAGGACTGGGCCTCACTGAGGGGATTGGAGGTCTAGGGTTACCTTGGTTAACAAATATTCTTAGTTATTTTACCTACATTTAAAATTTCAAAACATAAATTAACAAAGTAAATCAGAAATACTCTTAAAAATAATTACTAATCTGGTATTTAAAGATGGCATATATTTTTAGTTTTAGTTACATCATATTCATATCGAAGCGACGAAGCCAGTGGGAAATATTAACATTTATTTTGTATTTTTTTTCTACTATTTTGATTTTTAAAACATTTTCTGGCATTTTTATTATACTTTTGTGGTTTCAAGGCATTTTTTGTGTATTTATTATGATTTAAGAATAAATAAAATGTAATGAAAACTTAGCTTACATTCGTTAAAAAAAAATGTAATTTATTTTACTGATATTTCTATTTTTATTACGCATTATGTTCGCTCTTATGACTTCAGTTGACGTGCAACGAAGTTTTTCAATATACAAATTAACACTTACCGATAACCATCGAATATTTTTTGTTTTAAAATACCAAACAGTATCTGATTTTCCAATACTATAGTTAAACACAAAATATAACGTACTATGTAGCTATCTTAATTTTAATTTTTTCGTGGGTTAGGGCATTTTTTTTAACACATTTTACAAAATCTTGTAATATTATTAAAGTTCAGTAAATCATTTTTTGTTCAGGATTTTTTTAACTTTTTTGAAATATTTATATCCACGCACTACCTAATATTGACATATTTGCCACATTATTGGGCGTTCAATTATATAATATCAGCTATAGTACCTATATCATATTATTATTATAATTTATTTCTTTTTTATTTTAATATTGTGTAAAAATACAAATTTTATTTTCATTAACTGCAGTTAACCATGGTGTCTAATTATGACTATTCGTTGAGTTATTCGTGGAGTTATTTAGTCTATTTTTTGTTGAACAAATTCCACGTCGTGTTATTCTGTTATCATTTTTTATCTGCTGTCTTTAACCTTTTTTTTCGTTACTAGTCATCAATATTATAGTATAATCTTAATTATTCATGAAATGTTTCTTCTTTTTGCATGTTTGTAGACACTGAGTTTAGGTTCGACGTTCGGTGGTATTCAGGTGGGAAACATGTCCAGCCACGAGTTTAAAAATTATATCGACGTAAAAATTATAATTGATGGCAAATAATTGGAAAAAAATATATTTTCAGAAATTAAATCATATTTTCTGAAAAAAAAACAATTTCGTACACATTATGTCTTATTATATAGTCTTTCTGATCGAAACCTCCGTTTCTCTAAAGTCCATACAGTATTACTAGAATAAATCAATGACGACAAACTGTCATAGCCGACAACAACCCCCGAAAAAAAACCATTGATCAATACTGTTAGTGTTCGCATAATAGTTTGAAATTATTGTCATACTATGTTGAAGAGCAGTGTTTCTATGTTCTTATTTCAAACACTTACAAATAGATTGAGTAATTCTAAGGACGGAGATAGACTTCACCGAGTTGCAAGATTGAACCAGGGTCTATGTTTTCAGGAATATGTTTTTGGGCTGGGTACAGATATTTTTATTTTCCAACTGTTTTTATTTAACATTTTGTTTATCACCCATAGAAACGAATAAAACGTTTTTTCAATTAAATGTAATCAAAATTAAAATTAATGGTTATTACATAGTGTTTGAAGTATGAAATATTTCACAAAAACGTGAAACATTGAATTTTTTTTTAATCCAAATAAAAACACAATGTATTTAATTTTTTTAACACAATGTTCAGTGTACTAAATTCTAATGTAAGAATTCAGTAAGTATACAATATACATGTATAATATTGCATACCTACTTGTATCATTTAAACATTAAAATATTTAAAAATTTTGAATACCAAATGTTAGGTATACATACAGGTATCATACAATTATGAAGATAATTTATGACAATTGTATGTAAATATAAACCATATTTAAAAATAAAACAAAATTTATTAAAATACTGAAATATTTCACACATTTTGAAATATTTCATTTTTTTAAATTTCATGACATTTTCAAACACTATTAATATATATTATTTATGATTCATATATTTTCTTTGAAGAGGAAAATGTGCTACGTTTGTCAATACTCCACTTTTTAAGAAAATTTAATTAAAAAAATTGAATTGATGATTTTGTGAAAATAAATTAAAGAAAAGTCTAAGGCATTTAATTTTAATGATTACTATAAATAATTATTAAAATTGTTAATTTAAGTCACTTAAACTAATGTCGTTACAATTTGTATTTTTATAACTCAACTATATAAAAAATATATAAAAATCCCGTTTTTTTGTCGGGGCTGTCACAATATAATATTCAGTCCATAACTAAATATTCTCCTGATAACTACTAAGTTCAGAGTTGTAAGACATCGACAAGACATACGGGTGTAGCATCCTCTATAAACATACATTATTAGGCTCAATAAAATGTTCAATTCCCCTGAGGGAATTCGGGCAAAGGGCCCAAATCTGGTTTTAAAATGATACGTTTCTGCTCAAAATTCTCGGACATTGTTGAAGTCCGGGGACTTACTATTTTGGATTTTCCCATTATTAATGTTTTTTTTTTCATTATTATATTTCGTGTTTTGCGTGTTACAGATGACGACGTATTAATCAATAGCCTGGAGGATGTGGACCTCAGTTGCGACGGAGGTAGATGTGAACCAAACGGACAAGACGCCGTCCCGTCGTCGAGTTGGACAACCACCAAGAAACGTACGTAAGCTACCCTGCACCCACCGCCTCAGCGAATAATAATATTCCTAAAAAACCACTTTCTTATTTTTCCCCGTAGTTTTCTAAGAAGATTTGAAAGTCCATGTCATTTTCCGGGTAAAACCCATTAGTTTGAAAACATTTTAAAGAAACTGTGTACCTACATTGACCCCAGTCAACTTACAAAGGTACAAAACAACTATTAAAATAATGAATTTGCAACGACGTACATTCTGTTCCACACACTCAAACTGAGTAAATTTGTCCAGTTTTCTAATTTTTCTAATAGACATTACGCAGAATCAATCCAAATAGTTTTTACTTAAAATATGATATTTTTATTTTTCTAAAACCTTGCGCAATCTACATTTTATCATTTTATATTGTAACTAAAATATACAATGAGGAGTGAACATTTGAGCATGAGTATTTTTAAGTTAGAGAATTAAGAAGCCCTCTACAGTAGATAGAACTTTGAAGAACAAAATTAATTTATTTTGAAATATTTTGAAAATATAAAATCAATGGAATTTTAAGGCTGATTGTTAAACATAAAGTTGTATTATTATACTATTAATGGTTAGAACATTAATTAATTACATTGCAAATTAAAATTTTTTTTATTAAATTTAATGTGTTCTAGGGGTTTTTATTAGTTTGCTGACTGAAATATTACTGTCTACATTTCTCAAAATGCCATGATTTTATCTAAACAAAAATCTCATAGAATTGTGCTACTGTCAGGCGCGGATCCAGATCAATTATTAGGGGGGGGCCATTTTTTATTTGGACATAATATAATACATACAATTTAATAATTTTATTATATTATAATTATTAGGTACCATATTTGCCATATAAATATTTCTTAACAATGTAAAGAAATAAACTTTTAACTACAAATATAAAAAACGTAGGTAGGTACATTGAAAAGAAAACGCTTTATTTAAGAACAATCAAAAAAAATATTAAATATGAAATAAAAATAAAAATTATAGAGCAAAATCTAATTTTCTGTTTGTTTTTGAAAACATGTCAATGACTTTATTCACGTCTACATCAATATCACGGTGGATATTTAAAAGAGCAAGTCCAGTTAATCTGGTCTCTGACATTGTTGATCTCAGCCATGTTTTGAGTCTTCGTAGTGTTGAAAACGTTCTCTCAGCACTTGCATTGCTTATAGGAAGAGTTATCAAAATGATCAAAAGGCGATTGATTAACGGAAATATTTCTTCGTCACATTTTGCAAGTATTTCTGTAACACACATGGAATTTACTAAAATGTTTTCAAGTTTTTCACGGTTCCATTTTTGTTTCCATAATCTAAACTCTGAACGTAATAAAGTAAATACCATGTCTTTATCATTTGAAAGAAGTGCTTGAAAATCGTCTGCTAATGCTTTTAAGATAATTTCTGATTTATTTAATGAATATGAAGTTGTATTTTCATTTATAAACTTGTTAGGAAGTATATATGAAAGATTGAAGCACTCTAGTGTTTTTTGTGAAAAACGTGTTTTTAAATCATTAATGACATTATCTAATAATGGAATAAATATGCCTAATTTATAATATTCTTCTGTACTATTTGTTTGATAATTTGCACGATTTGTTTGTCTTGAACAATTCCTTGGAATTTTCAAATCAACATTTTGAGTTTTAGCTATACTCTCGGACCATTTATAAACTTCTTTAAACCGAGTAGAAACATTTTCTCTGCATTCTGACAGAATATTTAGTGTATCTTTCATTATATTGGCTGCTTCATGTAAATCAATAGACTTTTTTTGAAAACATTTACTTAGTTGAAGAGTGTAGCTAAGCATATGAGAGAGACTACAAAGTGAAACAATAATTTCACTGTCACATAATACTGTTGCTAGGGATTTAGCTTTTCCAGAAGTATTCAAGTCTTTCCATGATGTAATTTCTAACAATGCATCAATAATGTTATGCATATCTTGCATAAAACTCATTACTCCTTCATGTCTTTCGACCCATCTCGTTTCGCATAAACCAATCAATTGATGCCCAACATATTTTTTTAAAACAACTGTTCTTTTAGCTGACGCAGAAAAAAATGATACAGTTTCTTTAATTACTCCAATAAGATTTCTGATACTTTTGACACGTGAAGATTGTGATATAGAATTATTTAGCGAGTGATTATAACAAGGGCATCTGCGAGCATTAGGTGCTACTTTAATGATTTCACTAACAGCTCCACGAAGTTCTGATACCATTACGCTACATCCATCAGTCCCTACACCCACACATTTTTCCAAATCAAGACCAATACTATTTATTTGTTTGATAATAATTTTACCTAGTACTTCTCCAGTTATTGAAATTTCTTTTTTTTCTTCACCGTTTTCTTCACTTTCCTCGTTATCTTCAGTTTCTTCTAGTAGAGCCGAAGCTTCATCAAAAGCATCGACAAACATGACGAAATCTTCTCTAATTGTATCATTATAAATGTATCTTAACACCAAACTAATTTGTGAACGTTTTGACACATCAAGAGTTTCATCGAATATGATACTGTAAAAACCACTGCCATTTTTAATTCTTGATAGAATATGATTTAAAATTACTTTACTACAACATTCAATAATTTCATTTTGTGTTGTTTTACTTATGTATGTGGCCTTTGAAGAAGTGTTTTGAAGATGGTTTTCAAGAACACTGTCACCTGATTTAACGCGAAACTTTAATAGTTCTCTAAAGTTTCCTTCATTTAAAGAAGTACTTTGGTTATTGGTATTAATTGAAGTCGTTGTTAATAACATACCGTCATCTCTGTGGCCTCGGAGTGAAATGTTTTGTCTGACTAAAAATATAATACTTTCGACAATTGGAATAAGGCGCATTATATTCTCATTAACTTCTGCCAAACGTTTAGTATTTAATAAATTATGTACTTCTAAATTAGGATTATGATAAGTTTTCAAAAAACTTTTACCAAATTCTATAGATTCCTTGTGGTACTGTGTTCTTTCGTGATGTTTTAAATCCCCTGTTTCACCTAACAATTTTGCAAATTTAACTAATGGCTGTGTTACAAGTTTTAGTAAATTTACGTTTTTTTGAAAACCACCTTTGTGTAGATTATTAAAAATTGGACAATATTTGCAGAATAATCCTTGCTTCGATGGAGAAAATACCAACCAATTGAAAGAATTCAAATGTTGATGACCGACATACCGGCGTATCGGTTTTCCTCCTTTTATATGTTCCGAATAAGGAAACACATAATCTTTTGGTGGCACCCAAGGATTTTCAAGAAGCTGACATTTTGTATAATCATCAATAGTATTTCCAATGTATTGACCTATATCAGTCGAGTAAAAAGTTTGAGGTATTTGAGTTGATGACATTGGTAGTGTCTGAGTTGAAGAAGGGCATGGAGTTGGTGATGGGCATGATGATATTTGAGACGGAAATTGTGATGTTTTGGACGTCAATATGTCATGTGTTAATTGAGAAGAGGATGTATCATTTTCTAAAATCTGTTTTTTAGCAGGTAAAAAATATGAATTTATAGTTCTTTTTTCATTTGATGATTGTGCCTGTGAATAATTCAATAATGATAGATAATAAAATGATTATCATTATTTTGATCCAATAATTTGATTCAAATATATTTAATTTACCTATTTAGTATATTATATTATAAACCATAATTAATACTAAATAATAAATACTATTGATTATAAATGTTATTTTGTACCTATTCAATTTCAAAATAACAACTGATGCAGGGAATGGGCAAATGGCCTGGATAACTCGGAATATTATTTAATAAAAATAAATCGCATGAAATAAATTTTCTACAAAACTGATCAATATTATAACTTTTAGTAGGTACATGAATTATAATTTAATTTATTTCGTTTTATGATATTCTAAAATTATGTTATTGTTTTGTTATGTTTTGTTTTAATGATATATTGTAGATTTTGTTAATCGTTACCTATGTTTTGTTTTGTGGTACCTATTTAATTGTTTATGATTACCGTTTTCCGTTATAATTACATAATTTTATATTATATTTGTATATTAATATCATAAATTCATAAAACTAAAATGTATTTAATACAAATTACGATACGTACCATTTTTAAAGATGTATAATCTTCGTTGTCAGTACTCAGTAGTTCATGTATAGTTGCACAGAACAAAATGAATGATACGGAATGAAAATATATTTTATAAGTTATAAGTTATAACGGTAGACATATCAATGCGGGCGATTACGATATGAGACGACGACCGGTGCCCGTCATGTTGTCAGTCGGCGCGATTAGAAATTACCGAATTATAAATAGAACGACTCAACGATCCGCAAAACAATATAGTAATATATTATTATTTAATATTTATGATGAACATAAAAACTAAGAAATAACAGCCTAAACAGTTTTTTTTTCATAGTCGCTATAAAAAAATATAATTTTTAAATATGATGATTTTTTTTTCGTTTCGTGATATTTGGGGGGGGCCATCGCTCCCATGGCCCACCCCCTTGGATCCGCGCCTGGCTACTGTCCATAATTTTATATCAAATGAATATTTTTTATGTGTCCTAATCCGTTGGTTGAAAGTAATAAATCTGCAACGCAATAATCATATTTGATCTCGAACTTGTTTTTTTCTTTTTGTATATACGATCTGAGGTAAAGTCATCTCGCCCTCACTATTGTCGATTGGTTCACAATAGACTCGTAAATATTCTATGAGCTTTGAAAAGTTTTATTTTATCGACATAATATACGCATAGTTAGATTTCACAAGTCCGTGGAATTCACGTGAACTTTCAGCGATTTTTTTGTTGTGACAGCTGCCTTCACCTTTTGATCTATCATGACCAAACGATCCCTGCCCCCCTCCCCATCCGTCGTGTCAACCCCATCTTAAGTATTTCACTTATTTCACTCACTTTTTTTCATCGACAATTTCCACCGATATATCCATCTTCTAGTGTTCAATGGTACGTAGTTTTCAG